AGAAAACAAATATGACAGAAATTAACCAAACTGTATCAATAATCACTTTAAATGTGAATAGTCTAAATATACCAATTAAAGGACAGATTATCAGAGGGGATGGAAAAACCAAGATTCAACTATACATTGCCTACAGAAAATTCACTTTAAATATAAAAATACAAATTAAAGTAAAGGGATAGAGAAATACCATGCTAACACTAATGAAAACAAAACTGGAGTATTCATATTCATTTCAGACAAAGCAGACTTTGGAATAAGGAAAGGCATTAGGTATAAAATGATAAAGGGATCAATTCTCAAAGAAGACATAACAATCCTTAATGTGTATACACCTAACAACAGAGTATCAAAATATGTAATGCCAAAACTGACAGAACTGTAAATCCACAGACCCACTAGTACTGCAGGAGACCTGAACGCCCCTTTTTCACTGACTGATACATTAAGCAGCTGACAAGCAGTAACTCACATGAAACATTCACCAAGACAGACTACATTATGGGCCTTAAAATATACTTTAACCAATTTATAAGAATAGAAATCATACCAACTATGTTCTTAGACTACACAGGAATTAAACCAGAAATCAATAATAGAAAGACAGCTGGAAAAACTCAAAATATTTGGTGATTAAACAAGATGCTTTTAAATAACACATGGGTCAAAAAAGAAGTCTCAAGAGAAGTTTTAAAATAAATTAATAAAAACACAGCCTATCAAAACTTGTGGGATATAGCAAAAACAGTGCTCAGAGGAAAATATATAGCATTGAATGCATATATTAGAAAAGAAGAAACATCAATGATCTAAGCTTCTACTTGAGGAAACTGAGGAAGAAGAGCAATTTAGGCTTAATGAAAGCAGAATAAAAAAAAAAATCATAAAAACTAGAGGAGAGGGGCACCTGGGTGGCTCAGTGGATTAAAGCCTCTGCCTTCGGCTCAGGTCATGGTCTCAGTGTCCTAGGATCGAGCCCCACATCGGGTTCTCAGCTCAGCGGGGAGCCTGCTTCCCCCTCTCCCTCTCTGTCTGCCTTTCTGCCTACTTGTGATCTCTGTCAAATAAACAAATTAAAAAAAAAAAATCTAGAGCAGAGATCAGTGAAATTTAAAAGAAGACAATAATAGAGAAGATCAACAAAACCAAAAGCTGGTAAACCTCCAGCCAGATTAACCAAAAAAGAGAGAGAAGGGAAGAGAAAATTCAAATTAATGAGGGGATATCACTATTACTCCCACAGACATTATAAGAATAGTAAGGGAGTAATATAAACAACTCTATGGCCAAAAGGTTGATCACAGAGATGAAAGGCACTTCTTTGAAAGACACAACTGACCAAAACTCATACAAGCAGCCACTGACTAACGCCAACGCCTCTACCCACCAGCTTCAGCACACACCAAAGTCATATGTCTAAGTACTCACCTTTTCAGGAGCCTATAACACAAGCACCATCAAAGCCCTGATTCTCTCACCACATCCATCAATCCGGACCTCTTCTGACTGCTTCCAGAAAACTATCAGAATCTTCTCAGCCACAAGAAAGTATAAATCTCTCAGAAATGCAACACAACTTGGCAACAACTGAAGCAATCTACCAGAAACTGCTACAAGTATTTTTCTTGGCAACCCTAAGGCCATTGAAACCCATCTCCATGTCTCACGTTCCTGATGCACTTTTATCACCTACCTACCTTCCATTCATCTTTCTCCTGTATCTCTTCCCTACACTGTTCTGTGCTTGCATTCCCTGATTTACCCTCAAACTGCTCCTCTTCATCCCAAATCTTTTTGCTATGTGACTTTTGGAAATCCTTCTATATCTTCAAATTCTTCAACAAAAATTCCCTATATTTTCTATGCCTTAACTTCACTTTTTCTGCCTGCAATTACTAGAAGACACTATCACCCCTTCTCTTTATAAACCACATAAGACTTTGAGTAAACCATAAGACTTATAAGACATAAATCATAAGACTTTGAGTAAATATTACATAAAGTTTCTTCATACAGCATTTTGTTTTCATCTATTTTCACTTATCACCATATCTAATGAACATGATGAACCATTAACCATATAGATAGCATTTTCAAAGGAATACTGAACTTTCAAAGACAATAACTTATCTAAATACTGTAAGTTATTCCACAGATTTAGTTCAGAAATTTAACAGGCACAATACACACACAATTTAACCTTCCACAAAATGAAAGCTTCCCAGTTTCCGTAATACAGGTGTTTTTTTCCTCCCTGATTTGTACAACAAATAATCTACTTTAGCTTTTAATTATATGTGGAAATGTGTTAAAACATATAGATTGTACCACAGTACTTACAAGATAGGCTTTGCTCCGTAAGTATAACCTATAAGAAGAAACACTAATGCAAGAGAGGTCTGTATAATCAGTTATAAGATGGCAAATGTCCAAGTAAGAAATGCACAGTAAAAGACAGCTGGTGTCAGAGAGTCCAGCTTTGCGATGCGCTCTCTCCCCATCATGTGGGCATCATGTGGGCAACCAAATCCTTTTGTTGGTGGTTAACAGGCTGGCTCATCTGTGTGGGGCACTGGCACATAATAGTAGTTATGTTCTGCCTCACAAATGACTACACTTCATTGAGTTTATGCTCAGTAAGGCAGTGTTTGCAAACCACTTAGATTCCAGGACGGAAAGAGCTACAAAAATGAAACACCCAGTCCTTCTCTGAGGTTTGTTATTAGCCTCTGTTAGCCACAGGTTACAGGGCACTAAACACTATGTACTCTGTGTTTGCTTGTAACCAGTATGAAAAATAGCCTATAACATCTTTCTGAGGACTCCTAGAAAATTTTAAGTTAATTTAAAATCTGGGAATTTAACTGGGAAATACTTCGATTCTTAGAACTAGTTCTTGTCAAAATACCTCACTAATTCTTTCTTGAGTGTCAATCCAATTTTGATTCAACTAACACTATTCAATAGATGATTGCTCAAGTTTAATGCTACTGGGGGTAAAATGTAAACAAGGTAAAACAGTTCTACTTGAATCTAAGTTCATTCCCAGCCTACCAATAAGCTTCTTGATGTTCAGAAATGCTTTAAGAAAAATAGATTCACTAGCTTAATAGCCCAGATATGTATAAGATAATTCTTTCTATATACAATACATAAGTTAGAGAACCTAAACCACAATCCTAAATAATACATTAAACTGATGTCCTCAAAACAGCCTGACAAAACATCATTTCTGAGCAATTTCTATCCTGTAACATTTATACCAAAATGCAAAGTATTCATGAGATGAGCGATATAAGCATCTATAAGAACTCTAGAAACAGTATAGATATACTTTGAAGAATAATTATATGACTATATAAAATTATTAAAAATCTTAAAATGCTATTGGAACGTTTTTGAAAGCAATGTTTCTGAAAAGTAACATTCCCCTCAGTTTTTGGTAGTGAATTGTCCTCAGAGCTTCTCTGGCCTAGATAAAAAATTTACATATACTTAGAAAAATGTACTTCATGTATTTTGTTTGTATAACCTAATTTAGAATCTCTGGAAAGCAGAGAAAATTAAGAATATTTTCATTAGTTTATGATAATTCATTTTGATTATTTTAGAATTCATAGTTTCCTGGCACAATTTGATGAAAATGTTCATGAACTTCTCAGAAATACTGTACTTACATTGCTGTTCAATTAAACAAGATACAGTCTTATAACATTCACACAAATTATAAAGTATAAACAATAAAAGGCAAGAAAAAAATGTCATATGTACCTTCAAAACAGAAATCTTATTTGACAACTTATAAGATGGAATATAACATGCTCTTTCTCATAAGATATGAGGGACATCAGAAGAGAATACAGATATTTTACTAAACTCAGGATCCCTAAAAAAGATGAAATTTTTTTTAATTTCTACAGATTTGACCAATAATGTCTGATTTTTAAGCAATTACATAATAGCATAAAACACTACAAAAAAATTATTTAGAAGAACAGTCACATAACATTGTGAATGCACTAAATGTCACTGATTATATACTTTAACAGTCCCTCATTATAACAGTATATTTATAAATATACTTGGATATTTATATCATGTCAACTTCAAGTCAACATTAATTTTATATATAATTTTCTATTTATAAACAAATTTACATAAATCAAATAATAAGTTTTTAAATGATGGAAAGGTAAAAATGAGAGAATTACATACCCTCAATTTTTAGTGAAGAAAAATTTGTTAATTTTGTATTATTTGCCCTGAGATTCACAAAATCTTCCTACTCTCCACTAACTAGATAAATCTATAAACAATAAAAAGTTACTTTATTTGACATTCAGAGTCAAATATTATGAGAAGCTTGACTAATGTAATGTTTATCTTTTTAAAAAATCCAATATGTACCCCTGAAGGTAGACTTTAAAGGACAAAGAGGAAAGAGATTATTATTCTCAAAACTCATTTTTTTTTTAAGATTTTATTTATTTATTTGACAGAGATCACAAGTAGGCAGAGAGGCAGGCAGGCAGGCTCCCTGCTGAGCAGAGAGCCCGATGTGGGTCTCCATCCCAGGACCCTGGGATCATGACCTGAACTGAAGGCAGAGCTTTAACCCACTGAGCCACCCAGGTGCCCCTTCAAAACTCATTTTACCAAATAGGTGAACAAAACAAAGAACTGTGGCTTCCCACAAATCTCTGTCCAGCAATTCTTTTTTATCTAATATCACTTTGAATGTACTCAGTTTAAAGCAGAAAAAATTAAACAACAAAAAAGCCAGACACAAAAATCTGAAATGTATCTTTTAAGAGAAAAATGAATATGCATAAAATATAAAATCAGTCTCTCCACATATCAGATAAAAATCAAGTTACAGAGAGATACAGAGTGTGTGTGTGTGTGTGTGTGTGTGTGTGTTTATGTATGCGTGTACCCACTTGTATGTGCTTGAGAAGAGTATTTTTAGAACTGGAATAATCATAGAATTTATGTCATACCTGTGCTCCATAGATATATTTATCCAACATCTTGCCTCCTATTGTCTGTCCTCCTATATCCCAAACTTGGAGAGTAACATTCAAGTTCCCTTGAATATAAAAACAAGAATGCAGAAAAGGTAAGTAACAAAATAACAACTGAATACAGTTCCAAAGAATTCAAAGTCACAATGATAAACTGTGGAACTAATCTGCTATTTATTTTTAAGATTTTTATTTATTTATTTGACCCTAATCTGCCTTTTATTCTGCATGTTCATATGGTCAGATATTTGGAACTATAAAATAATATTGTCAAAAGAAATTATAATAGAGAATGTAGGTTTATACTTTTACCCCACTTCTACAGAACCATATTTACGATTACTACCAAAATAAAAAAAGCTTTAATTCATAAACTGCTCAAAACTTTAAAAAATATTTTCTTAAACAGAAAATAGGATGATAGAACACTTGTACGGGGGGTAAAAACATATAAATTAAAAATAAAAATAGAACTTTATATATTAACCTACCCTATAGCACATAATGAATTTTACTGTAAACTCTAAACTCTACAGGTTCTAATACTCACAGATTAACAATAGACTACAAAAATGGACCCAGAGTTTCATCTCAAATTAATGCACTTTTAAAATTTAAATGTCACCCATTTATGTGCAATAGGAAACATAATTTTTAAAACCACATATTTTCAAATTTGTTCTATAAAATATAAACACATATGACAGCCCTCTTCAGAACAGATGTAGGATACATACCCAGTATTTCACTAAACATTATGATGCATTTACTGTTCAAAGCATTTCCATTGAAACAAATCATAATATGTGCTTCAAATCCTTCATAAAATGGTAGAACAAATCCTCCCCATACAAACATTATAAAAGCATTTAAAAATATTAAAAAGCAAGCAGGATGCCTGGGTGGCTCAGTCCAATAAGTGGCTACCTTCAGCTTAGGTCATGATCCCAATGTCCTGGGATCAAGTCCCACATCAGGCTCCTTGCTGGGCTGGGAGCCTGCTTCTCCCTCTGCCTCTGCCTGCCACTCTGTCTGCCTGTGCTCTCTCTCTCTCTCTAACCAATAAATAAATAAAATCTTTAAAAAAAAAAAAAAGGCACTAAAAAGCAATCTTTAAAATTCATCTATTTTGCAAAGTATTTGCCTGATACAAAAATTTATGAGATAAACTATTCTCCCTTATGAATCCATAATCCCAAAAGTTAAAGACCATGTCCAATATACTTTCTAGTTTAACATTTCAAAGTATTTCTCCTAATGATGCAGTTTTCTCCAAAGAAGACAAAGTCTCAATTAGTATCTTCAAAATGAGCTCTCACACTAAAAAATGCACCTTCCTGAATGATTTGCAAATCAGAAAAAGTCAAAATAAAAACATAAGACAACCGAAAAAAAATCTTCTCACTTCAAAAACAATAATGAAAAAGATTATAAAGACATGAATTTTTATGCCAATGCCAAACACTAAAATCAGAGAATGTTAGTCACATCATTCAACTAAAAAGCAAGTATAACAATGGATTAACCAGCCAAGCTTTACCCTTAACTCTAAGTTTTGTTGGTTTTGTATTACAATCTTTCCATTATTTTGAGGTAGGTCTGTTGCATCTGCCAACATGCAAAGGATTTACATGAGGAACTTCCATTAGCATTAATGAGAGCTCCTGAAGTTTATCACCAGTCATCATTCTCACATACACACACTTTCAACACTCACAGAGTAATGACGAAAATGTTCTTAGAGTTCTGTGAAGATGAAAACCAAAATGCACGACCTAAATAAGACTTATCCAACAACTGGAATAAACTCATTTACTTAAAAATCTAAATTTTTCAAGTTTCAAAGCTGAACTCATTCTATGACACTGTCTCACACTAAGCAGGTGAGAAAGGACTAGCGGTCACTAGTAGTATTTTAAATCGCTTCAAGAAGCACCTAGATAAAGAGGCAGTACTCTATTCATTTTACTTGCAGACTCTTTACAGTCATTTGTTTACTTTAAAAAAAAAAACAAAACAGTGCTTAACAATATTAACTTTCTTCTGGTAAGATTGTAGGCAATACTTCATATAAGGTGTTTAATACCATTTTCTTCAAGGCCAATAAATCCTATCACTTGGCTTTGCATCAAGAAATATAAAGCTTTTCTGCCTTTAAATTCTGATAGTCAGATCCAATTTGAATTAGTTATTGTGAACACCTTAGCTACAAACTTTACAAGCATGATATTCATGTTTCCAAATCCTCACTACATCATTTTAAGACTAAATCATATATTCAGTTGCCTCCCATCTGAGTTTATATTTATATTCATGTTTTGCAGATATTTTTTAAATTCATACCTTTCTATATAAACACTGTTGTTGTTGGCTTGTTTTTTTTAATATACATATTCTGGTGCCTCAGAAATAAAAATAGTTATGCGTTACTGATAATCGACAATGCTAGCCCCCGCCAAAAAAACCCACTTCTGCCATCATTATAGCTTCCACAAATGATACTTGCTTCTTATTTGTTTCATATGTCTAGAAATATATTTTTAACTTCTACATGTGGATTTTAGGATTATTAACACATAAAAATAAAAATAAATTTCCCTATTTGGGAAACAAAATCACATAAAGATGGAATTCTAATCAATATTCATTTTAACTTCCCTAAATATAAATACATAAAGCTGCCATGTATATTTTCAAAATGACATACCTAATAACCTATTAAAATAGTATTCAAATAATCAATACTGTAAAATTTTTTTAAAAAATCAAGAATACATCTGATATAAATTTCCTACTAATAAAGAACATTAAGGAGATTGTCAGCAATCTAATCTCAAGTGCAAAATGCTACAAAATTCCCGCTACCCAGTAAGAAATGACATGTAACCAGTGGAAAAAAATAAAGTAAATGAGGTGACAAAATACAGGTAAGCTGCTTTTGGTATGAATCAAAGCCACCAAGAGGATTCAACAGTGACCTTGTAAAAGTACACTTGGTGCCTTGGTTAACCTTACTTAAAGTGCTGCATAGTCAAGATGGAACTAAAAACACAAGTCTGCCCACTTCTTGCACTAAAGACTTAGAAATCCTTCTCACAGTAGAACGCTGTTTACTGGACTGTACCCACAAGCTTCCTGAAAGTATTTTGACTAAGGCTCTTAAGAAGCTCTATCAGCAGAATCTCTGACTAACAGATACACTATTTTAAGCAGTAAACTCTGCACAGTGGTTGCATCCAGACTATACAGCATACCGGAACATGAAATATACTAAAATGGATGAATATTTACAAAGTAATGACCTTGAAAACTTGCATGAAGAGAATGTCAATAGATGGACAGGAGGTATTCACGTTTAACAATCTGAATGGACAGAAGACTTACTAGAATATTTCACAAATATTAGATTCACCTAGTATGTTCTTTACTATAAATTCAATAATGCTGCCTGTAATGTTTTAGCAAATGATACAAATATTAGTCATCCTACATTTGACACTACAATGAATTAAAATTAATGTTAAAATATGTAAAGGATATACTGTGAACCTTATAATTTATTTACTTCATTTCTTAATGTATGTATTAATTATATAATATCAAGTTACATTAAAACAATTTTTTCCTACTGAAATTTCTAACACAATTTTGAGTTCATGAAGTAACATAAAACCAACTGCCTTTAAAAAAAAAGAATTTTTTTCTGGAATTCTACCCCTCCAAATAAAAATTTAATCAGGAATTCATTAAAATATATATTCATTAAGAGTATAAATTTCCTAATGTCATTTTTAATATAAGTACTTTCTAACTCTAAAATATTATACTATAAATTTTGATTTCAAAAATACCAAATATTTTTTACAAATTAATAAAACTTTAAAATGGGTAGTACTGTGCAACAGATCAGAAATCATCATTTGTATATATCACCTATTATAAAACCAAAACCAGTCCTAAGATATTTTTAATGATTGAATGTTGCTTGTTCCTGTATTTAAGGCTTTGAACTAAAAAAAAGTCAGAAAAACTAAGTAACATTAATGGTATAGAAAGCTGATGCTCTTGCTAGTTAGCATCAAAAATAATAATCAATAACTAGATATATGATGGTTCTCTATGTACAACTGGCATCTCTGAAAAAACTGTTGTAAAAAATAAGCTTTCAGCATGTATATTATACGACTTGTGTATATATTCTTCTAGTAATTGCTATAAATACTCTGAATGCAGCATTAACCTATCCACACAAATGAGAATAATAAAAATGAGATTTTTCAGTTCTGAATACATTAAAAGGAAATACAAATGAAACAAAATATGCGTATGTTTCTCATAAGCCTCTTGCTGAACAATAACTTAGTTAACAAAGTTGGAATTCTTTTCTCATACTCTTTCAATTTATTTTTCATTGGTAGCTGAATACAGACAATCACAAAATATAATAGAGCATACCACTAGTGAGATAAGCAGAATACCTTCAATTACCAAGAGTTTTCATTAGCTGCTCTAAAACTTTGATGGAGAGTTGTCTGACAGATGGGGTATTTGAGAGGTTAACATATTTCAATAATATTGGAATTTATTAAACCCCTTCCCACTATATCACTCACGCTCCAGTATATGAATCTGAACACTACCTTTGCAACTGTTTTTATTCAAATGTGTTTCCTCAGAGAGGAGAGAGACGGACTGGTTTAGAAAGTCAATCAAGATAAACTGCTTTTATAAAATACTTTAAACATATAATTTAACCATCACAAATGAATGGACAGAGCATTTTAAAGCCCCAATTGTTCAGAAACTAACTTAAAACAGAAACCACTCTCTTTTTGTTATTATTTCCCTGTATTTCCCACAAAATGTGCTGCAACTGGCATCTAAATAGTTTCTTTGCATGGTGAACTGAAACATCTTGAATGCTCAAACTGTATTTTTATGAGTGCCTAGGGACCCTAAATTTTAGTGGTCTATTAAATGCCAGCAATTTCATGCTGCCTTGCATAAAACAGCATTCACATATTAGAGCACAGAAGTTCCATAGCTACATTATACTTCTGTTCCAACTTTCTCTTGAACAAAAAACTGAAGCAGAGGCTAATCAAAATAATATTTTAAAAAAATAATCCTTTCCAGTCTTTTCACATTTAGTTTATACAATATCTGTTTATAATTGTGTAACATTTGACTTTTTTCAACTTTTTAGAATTTTATAAGCAACTATTGTTTATTCTCGAAAAATGTGTGGAGTGGTCAAAAACAGCGGGAGAATGGGGGAATATATAAACTTTTTTCTCACACCCATGGACAATATGTCTTCATGGGAGATCCTGATCAAAGTTAACCTCCTTATGATAGATTTGCTAATTATATATATTTTCATGCAGAAAGAGCCCCCAAATTTATTTTATATATCTCTGCTATTATTGTAAGATATGTACAATTTTCTATGTTAAGATTTTTTAGTCTCTTACCTGGCAATGTTATCCTTCTCAAAAAGAAATCCAGTCCTATGGTTTGTTTGTACTGTTTCCCAAAAGTTTCTTGAGCAAAACACGTAGCTAAGGAGGTCTAAAAAAATTGATGCATAGAATATCAAAATTAATGTCTTTGTTTTAGAAATGTAAACATAAAGTCATTACTAAACCTTATTAAGTAATCTTAGTATTTATACTACCATTAATCCAACCAACAACTTTAAGCAGTTCTAATCAGTTACAAAGCAAGGAGGGACTTAACACTCCACCAGGTAAATTTCACTTGCCAACAGCTATCAGTGGGGACAATAGACTAATAGGTTAGATCTCTTGAAATCCCCTGATAGTCAAGCTCCTTCTCCTTGCTGGAAATCAGAATTTGAGATTTATCAACAAGAAAATTAAAACAACATGACTAAAGATCTGAATCCTTAATATCCATATATATCAGTTCAATACAATTCTAAGTTTCATTTCTGAGGCTAAATACTCTGAATATTTGTGCTCTCAGAAACAATAAGTACTAATTAAAAGGAGGAAAGTCTGTTCATATAATTTTCCTTTACAAAAAAGTATCTTTAAATGTCTAATTTTTCTCTATATTAAAGAAGTTAATGAAAATTATACTACAGAATGACTGAGGTAATATTTATCTTTAAAATTAAGAAGTTGGTATTTTTAAGACTAATAGTAAGTGGGCAAAAATATTTTCCATCCAACAACCATAAAGATTAAGTCACAAGAATATTGCAACCAGAATAGATACACATATTTCTACATATTTTTAAATAACAACTCAAAGTTGTATTCAAAACTCTGGAGTACCATTTCCTATCAAAGCAGAATAAAAACCATTCTGGAAACAACTGAAATAACTCAATAACTTAAAAGTTTCTCAAACATTTTAAATGCCCTATTTATTTGTAAACTTCACCAAAAAGAAAGGCGGCTTCAGAAAGCTTTTAAAGAGCTTTACGCTCTTTAAGAAAGACTACCAAAGTTAAGTGAAAACTGCCCTTTTTTATTTTAAATGTTAAAATTAGATATCAACTAAAATAAAATTCCCAAGACACCTTAGTAGAATTAATTATAAGTGCAGCAATGCAAAAGGAAACTTGGCCAAATTTCAATTTCTTCAAACAAAAAGACCTAAAATTCTTTTTGACACAAGAACCATATTTTTCACACAAATGACAATCTGCACACCCTAAGTCTAATTCATTTATTATTTAAATACTCAGCATTTGTAATAAATTTCTAAGATATGTGGTCAAATATTTATTGAACACCCTAAGAAAGATGTTCTGCTAGGCACTGAGAAATAAACTCACTACACTCAAATGAAAATTTGTTTGGCTTCCTAAAGCATGTAACAATAATATAAAAACTGAGAGCCAGGAATAAAAAAGGTAAGCATTCCTTTTTAAAACTCTTTGTTTTTCATTTATCTTTATTTATGCCATTGAGCGTGTTTAACTCAGAGTACAAAATCTTCTGTTAAGAGGTTCAGAGTTCCAGAGAAAAATAACTGCCACTATTTAACTATTACAGATATTTCAAAATGTTTAATATAGGGATGGTTGCTATACTTTTATAAGACAAAGAGAAACTCAAGGCACATGTAACATTAGCATAGTGCCATTTAAGGTAATTTTGCACTTTCGTGTAAGCTTCTCAAAGTTCAGTATTTTTATGTTAATGAATTGTTTTAAAAATTCAAAGGTTCTTTTCTTGGAAACAGGACTTCGAGATTCTGAAAGCCTTACCCTCACATTTTTGAGGCACACATAAAGCTAGGATTTTTTGACTGGAATAAAGTATAATCTGTCAAAAATACAGGTCTGTGAGAACATGAGAATATTAAAGTGTATTCTTATACCGTCTCTGGACATTCTCTAAAAATTTAACAGAAAATCAACTGAATCAGTGGTAGGCACTTCCTCTTCAATTCTCTAGACTTTCTGCCTTCTTTCACACTTAATAATTTCTCTCAAGTCATTATATAAATACCTTTCTTAAACAATTATGAAGTGAACAATCATCTACCATATGTGAAACATCTTTATCTGATTCTTTATATCGTTTTGTCTGGTGAGCTTCTGCTAACAATTTTTACCATACTACATTTAGTAATACCAAAGGAAAAAAAATATATATTTTGCCTCAAAAAAATCTTAAGAAATATGTAATAAAATCAAAAGTATGAATCAAAACAGAAAGAACTAGAAACACATGTTACTAGAAGGAGGAGCTAAACTTCTCTTGGAGAAATTATTAGTGATTATATCAATACTCTATTGCTTCCATCAATGTGTATTTAAATGCCATGAGTTAAAACTGACAAGAGACACTAATGCTAGAAAAAACAGCCAGGAGTTCAATCAGGATACAAATAAGTATGAAAGTGAAGCTGACTTCATAAAAGGATAGTAAAGGAAACAGAATGGGAATGTTGGTAGCTGCCAGTAACTTGAGAGCAGAATAGGGCATGAAGAAGAAAAAAGCCTGATATACAAATATTGAAATAAAGGTTAGGTTTCTGATGTTTGTGTCTGAAAATCTCTGGCAGAAAATGCCTTTACAGTTTTAAAAGTTTAGTCAAGATGATAAAGACTAAGTCAAACACCATAAACAGTTAGCACTCTTACCCTTTTAAGCAGAATGATAGTCCTAACTCAATAATATGGAAGGGAAAAAATCATGTCTTGTCCTACACTAGAAAGAATTTTAGACAGAGATGAAAAACTGTAATTATTCACACTAAATTAGCAACAAGAAGAAAACATGGTAGGCTAAACAAAAAACTCAGATAAAAAACTATGAACAAAATTCAACTAACACATGTATGAAACTGATAAATACTGGAAGAAAAAGTAAAAAATTTAAAGAATTATGATAGACCACTGTAACTGGCAACTTTTGTCTCTTTTAACAAGTGTTTTAGTGCTACAGATTGTCATTATAATTTTAAACAGGAAATGAATTCAGTTATGAGTTGACCATAAAAGGATTTAGGAAATGAAAAATTAGAAGGTATTCAAAAGAACACTGAATATTAAGAAAACCATACAAATATACCTCAAAATTTTTATTGAATAAGACTGTTAGAAACAATACTGATCTATTTAAAACAACTGAAACATTCAAAAAGTTTCTTCCCAAAAATCTTTTAAAGGTAATCAGAGCATATTAGCTTGTTTTTCCTCAGCAATAAAAATCAGTACCAAAATATCATCCGGAAAGGCAAGAAAAGAAATTAACAGAATGCTCCAAATTTTGCACATAAATGACAACTCTCCCAGGTGCCCTAGGAACTCAAATCTCAGAACCAAAGACTGGAGCAGCTCTGCAGGGCCAACTGCCAGGGAAGATGCAAAGAGCAGTCGTCACCAGAGAAACCAGGGTCCAAGCTACACCAGTAAAGGGGAATCATGAGCCGGAAACTGGTAACAATAACAACCTGCGTTTCTGAAGACCCTGGCTGGGAAAAGGGAGGGAAGAAGAAAGGAGACAGACTTTAGCAATATTCCCAGAAACAGTGTTGGCGCCTTGGACAGAAGCGACAGGTGTGAAGACACCCCGGGCAGAGGCTCCTCACTTTATTTGGGGGGTGGTTACACACCGTTTTGAGATCCCATGGACCCTCCCTAAAGAGCAAGCACCAAGAGATGATTCTTCGGGAGCTCCACAACCCAGAGTTAAAAACGTCAGCCTGAAGAGGTAAGGGGACTGGTTGTCGGATATTCTCAAGCACTCAGTCTCATTTATTCGATCAACCGTCACCGGAGACTAGACTCTAAGCAAGGATCCCCTCGGCCACGATAGCAACTGTACTCTCAGCATCAGCCTAAATTAAGCGCTCAATAGATATTTGCTGAATGAGTGCCTGTGTTCACAGGTGCGGTGCTTGGAGGGAGCAGTGATGAACAGGTATGATGCTATGATCCAGCGGCCAGCGTTTACTGAGTGCACACCATATTCTGAAAGCTTTATGTGGATTTTCACACTGAATGTGTATTTGCACACTTCACCCTCTGAGGCGACCCCTATCAATAGCCACCTTACCGATGAAGCACAACTAGGGAAGCAATTTTGCCCTCCAGTGTCCCGACCAGTAGTAAGTGATGGGGCAGTGCTCACCCAGGGAATCTGATTCCAGAGCCACGTTCTTAGGAGTGCAGTGTAGGTACGTAAGGCGGCCGGCGGTGCGGGGATGGGATGGGGGGATGGGAGGGGGGCGGAGGGGGAGGGGGGGGGGGGGGGGGGGCAAAGTGTGACATGGACTAAAGTGAAAAGAGCAGATTTTTGCCAGTCCTCAGAGGCAAGAAGCTGGAAAGCTTCCCACGAGGGCGATGCTGGCTCGACTCTTGAAGAAGTAGGAGTTCGCGCAGGCAAGGAGCTGGGAAGTGACTTTTTTTTTCTTTTTCTTTCTTTCTTTTTTTTTTTTTTTTAATTTAAGGAGAGCTAGACGGCTCTAGTCAGCCTTCACCCAGCGCCTACTTCGTGTCTGGCCCCAGGCTACGATCGGACGGGCCCCGGCCCTTGGGATACCGAGGCGACGCCGAGCGGCGGGGAGGAGGCTGGGGTTTGCAGGGACCGCGCCGGGGTTCCTGCAGGCCGGAGACGGCGGGCCCGCTGGAGGACTGACCTTCCCGGAGGTGCCGTCCCCCAGCACGACGATTTTCAGTTGGCGGTCCTGGGTCTCCTCCTCAGAGTCCGACATGGTGTCCCGGGAACCAGGCCCGCTCCCCCACCCCCACCCCGAGGTAGAGGAAGGAAGGGTAACAGGGGGTCTCCGGGGGCGGGGGAGAGGAGGAAGGTAGGCAGTGGGGGCAGAATCCCCCGCCCCGAAGTCTCAGCGGCCGCTGGACATAAGTAGGCTGAATCACTCGCCGGGCGCCATCTTGCCCACCTCCCCTCCCCTGGGCGCCGCACCGCCCCCCACGCGTTACGTCTGTCGCGCGCCCCCTCCTCTGCGCCTACTCGCGCGGACGCGAGCCTCCCTAGCAAACCGGCCCATTTCCGGGCCTGGGACGGGGGAGGCCTTTGGACTGATCTGGCGAGACAGGCGCTACTCTCGCACAGGCAGCTGTGAAGAAGAAAAACAAAATATATCGTTCAAACCCGGTAGAAAAATGGGAACCCAGTAGCATTCAGGCATTCTATCATATTCCCGTGTGTCCATCACCCCCTGTGAATGTCCCTGAAGCGAATGGTTTAACCCGAGGCGGGGGCGTTGTCGCCTGGGCCACGCGCCCCGGTTGCCATGGAAGCCCGGAGTTGGAGAGGCGGTGGGGCGGCGCCTGTTTCCTGGCGCCCGGGAAGCCGGTGGACTGCGCAGCCCATTGAGGCTGGCCCTCCACCCGGAGTTGGTAGGGGCGCCGGGGGTCGCGCCCGGGGAGGAGCGTGGGCGCCGCGGAGGCTGCCGAGGACCGTTCTGCCTGCGGGGAAGCGCCCGTAGGGGCCTTCAGTTGAACAGGGTTCTGGCGCTGCCTCTTGTTTTGACCTCTGAAACCATGGGGTTCCCTGGACAGAACAACAGAATCTGATGGTTCATTCATCAAGCAAGGAACCTAGAGCAGCAGTTCTCAAAGTGTGGTCCGGGGAACCCTGGGGGACGCCAATAAAGTCAAAATTATTTTCATAATAATACAAACACCTTTTTTTTTTTTTTTTGCCTTTTTCGTGTTCATTCTCTTACGAGTTTAAGTGTTCCAGGGGATGCATGATGTATATGATGGCATTACTCTGGCAGTTACGGAATCATGTGCTTGTTATAGAGTGCCAAACATTTTAGTATTAATTTCAAAGCAGTAATGATAATAATGAACAATGTTTATGAACAAAAACTCTTCGAGGTCTACAGTAATTTCTTAAAAGAGTGTAGAGAGGCCCTGAGCCCAAAAAGTATTCAGAATTGCTGTACTGTGGGAGCCTGGGTGGCTCAGTGGGTTAAGCCTCTGCCTTCGGCTCAAGTCATGATCCCGGGATCCTGGGATCGAGCCCGCATCGAGCCAGCATCGGGCTCTCTGCTCAGCAGGGAGCCTGCTTCCCTTCCTCTCTCTCTGCCTGCCTCTCTGCCTACTTGTGATCTCTGTCAAATAAATAAATAAAATCTTTAAAAGAAAAAAAAAAGAATTGCTGTACTGTCTTAGTACAGTAGAGTAGGTAAAAGATGTCACAGAAAATTTCAATAAACATAAATTCTATAATAATAATGCCAACCTACTATGCTTGTCTCATTGTTAATTACTTTACAGGGATGATCATGGTTCATTCCTCATGAGAACCCTATAAAGTAGGTAGAATTATCTCATTTTACAGATGCATAAGCTTAAGGCACAGAAAGCTTAGCTCAGAGTCAGTGGTCCTGGAAAGAATGCAGGAATTAGAATGGAAAAGCAGTACAGTTTTCAGAAATGCCCAGTCCAAGAGGGAGCACTGGAGTTCTAATCACAGACCTATGCTTACTAGATGTGTGACCTTGAACCACAATTACATCCATAAAATAGAGGTACCACCTCCTTCATAAAGTTGAAAATTAAATGAAGAACTCAATGTAAAATAACAGCACAATGCCTGGCATATACTAGTAACACTCAAAATTAACAGGTGTAATTATCCTCTTCATTATCAGTAGATATGGTCCATATTGGAGCATCACTTCTTCCTTGCGATGTTACCTTAGACAGGTTTCTTATGTAGATTACATTTAATTGTAATTAGTCGTTCAGTCTTCTCTATCATAATATTCTCTACCATAATATTCTCTATCATAATATTCTCTATCATAATATTATACATTAATGATATGCCCCTTTCATATAAGCATGTATATATTATGTTTGCCAGCAGGGCCCCTATGTATTATTGTGCATTGATATAGCCCCTGCATATAAGCATGTACATACAATTATTAATCTTGCATAAGACATTAAGTTAACCTATATCCAGTAATACTTAAATTGGAATGCACTTCACTTATCCAAAAAAGACCTTGATCAGCAAACCTCAAGAAATCAGCAATCCTTACACAAATGTGTACTTCTTCTCACTCTGGGCCCATAACACGTTGTGGGGGGGGTGTCCTATATTAAAACTATACTTGGCATCAGATTCTTACTTTAGGGCCTTGTAACTCTTTACTCCTACCTACAATCCTTTCAAATGGAACATCTAGATGGACTGATAACTAATCAGCCCATGATCACACAAAATTGTGGTGTCATGCATTTAGTATCTTTTCATTTTTAGAGGAGGAAGCAGTATCACTCAGCCATAAAGGTCTCAACATGTAGAGCCTGGTTTCTTCATCTGTAGGTAGGATTAGTCCCCAACAGTAGCTACCCAGTTAGTATTAGTTCCCAGTACTTTCCCTACTCCCAAACACCACCACTAACAATTTCCTACATTACCAAGTTTTTAACGAGTATCAGTAGGAAAAGTACCTGAAAGGGTTTTTGCAAAGTTCTTTATAAATATTGATTTGAGGACTCTGTTTCTAATGAAGACAGATTTAACCCCTTCTTGTCCATAAAGGGAGTTAATGTTGCAGAAATTTGTTTTTCTATTCGTCCTTAATGGAAATGGTTATGTAACCCAGTTCTGACCAATTAGACAGAAGAGGATGTCCTTTGGGAGACATCTGGAAAAGATTTTCCTCCCTGATTAAAAAGGAAGGAAGGGCACCTGGGTAGCTCAGTCAGTTAGGCTTCAGACTCTCAGTTCCAGCTCAGATCATGATCTTGGGGTCATGAGATCAAGCCCCAGGTCATCAGGCTCCAAGCGGGGCACAAAGCCTGTTTAAGATTCTGTCTTTCCCTCTCTATAATCCCCCCCCACACACACACACAAATATGTTCTCTCTCCCTTTCTCTTTAAAAAAGAAAATGGATGGGCACCTGGGTGGCTCAGTCGATAAGCATCTGCCTTCTGCTCAGATCATGATTCCCGAGTCCTGGGATCAAGCTCCACATCAGGCTCCCTGCTCAGCGGGAAGCCTGCTTCTCCCTCTTCCACTCCCCCGCTTGTGTTCCCTCTCTCTGCCAAATAAATAAATAAAATCTTTTTTTAAAAAGAAAGAAAGAGAGAGGGATAGAGAAAGAAGGAAGGAAGGAAGGAGAAAAAGGAGAGATTCAGAAAGAAATATCTCCCCCTCCCTTCCCTTGCTGTCATTATTTGGGTGAGGACATATTTGGAATTACCACAGCCTTCCAGGCTTCTTGTTATAGGGCACTTTGGCTGTGTATCCCATTACTCGCAGATAGAAACATCCTAACTGGCACAAATGCTTTGGCCCAAAACTAGATTCAGCTGAGGTTGTTAAGACCGATTCTTCTAAATTTCACTGTGGTTTCATATGAAGGGAAATTTAGAAGACAACCTTGCATTTTCCTATCATTAATTTCCTAGACAACTGCTTTGATGGAGAGACATCACGAAACAAGCCAATTGCATTATTTTAGTGACCATATTTTATCCATCTATGACAAGATTCCAGGTTGAAAATTAGATATGAAGACTTGGAACCATATTTGTAAATTAAAAAGAAAAAAAAAGGAGGTGTGCCTAGGTGGTTCAGTCAGTTAAGCCCAAGTCTAACTTCAGCTCAGGTCATGATCTCAGAGTCCTGGGATCAAACTGCACATCAGGTTCCCTGCTCAATGGGGAGTCTGCTTATCTATCTCCCTCTTCCTCGGCCCCTCCCCCTCCCCCAGCTCATGCTCTCTCTCTCTCTCTCTAATAAATAAATAAAAATCTTTAAAAATATATATTTCTCTTGTGTAGAGAACATGCTACCTAGCACTGAAAGCTTCCAATGTGGTGCCTTACCATTCTAAAGAGCAATAGAGCTGATCCACAGAAAAGGAAAATATGGAGCTAATATAAGAACCCGCAACAGGGTCATAAACTAGGGAAATCTTTTTCAGTGGTCATAAGAACAATAAATTAACAAAATGTCTAAAGATGAATTCTAGAAATTTCAGGAGATTAGGGTTCTTTAGCTATGAAGAAGTAAAAGTACTTACATAAGATAAACCTGACTGCTATCTGCTACCACCTTCCCACCTAATTTTAAAATATCTTCTCTAGCATCTTTAACAGATGATAATTCAAACTCTGTTGGAGTACATCCAAATACAAGGAGTTCATTCCCTGTGAAGGAATCTGAACTATGGACGTAAGCCTGTTTATTAGAATATTTGTTCTGAGTTGAACAGAAACCCTTCACTATAAATTCCGACTAATGGTATCAGGTATGTCTTTTGGAGTAAAACAGAACTCCCGCATTCTAAAAGAAGGCCTTCAAATGTATTCATTACAATTAATGATTTATTTCACAAATATTACATAAATGCCTACCATGTGCCAGCCATTCTGATTCACAGTTGTTTTAAGCAGTGAGAACACACAAGACATACAAGGGCTCTGTTTCTATGGAACTTGGAATTTGGTGGTGAGGTATTGCAGACAGAATAGTGACTGCCCCACAGATAACAGGTCCCAATCTCTGGAACCTATAAATATTACCTTATTTCCAAGGTGATTAAATTAAGGATGTTGATATAGAAGAGATTATCCTGGATTGTCAGGGTGGGCCTTAAATGCAATCACAAGTACCCTTATAAAAGAAAGACAGAAGGAAATTTGACTCAGACAGAAAAAGAGAAGGCATTGAGGCCACAGAGACAGAAACAAGTGACACAGCCACCAGCCCAGGAATGTCGGCAGCACCAGAAACTGAAACAGGCAAGGAAGGAATTCTCCCTCTCAAGCCAATGGAGAGAGTGCAGCTCTGTCAACACACTGACTTCAGCCCAGCAAACACTGATTTAACATTTGTAGACTGCAAAGCTATGAGAGAATAAATGTTGTTTTAAGCCACCAAATTTACAGTAATTTGTCACAGTAATTTGGC